CGATCTTGCCCAAAATCGGTATATTTGCTTCTTATCTATGTAAGTGACAAATGCCTATCAATTTTTTTCCTGGCCGTCATATGCCAAAGGCCCTTAAGAAATGCGTCTAAATTCGCAAAATACACATTTCTAATTTTGAACAAATATTAAGTGATATTGTGAATCGGAATGAGTGGTTTTGGAGGGGCAGTTATTGTATACTACTTTTCGATTTGAGACCTCCTTCCATCGTTTTTTGCCCGGATTCAGTTTTTTCCCATTATTTGCTCCCTTAAAGTACCTAAGGAATTAATGATCAGAAAAGAATTCTCTTGTTAATCGTCAGCAACATAGAAAAAGTAACAAATAGACAGGGGGGTGATCCGCGCCGTCTTTTTAAAATGCTTATACTGTACCGGATTCTTACGTGCGGACTGGTTGCATACTCGCACGGCGCCGTGGCGAGCGGTGGTAGGCAAGCCCGCCCGCACGCGTGAATCCGGTACAGTCTAAGCATTTTAAAAAGGCGGCGCGGATCACCCACCCTGTATACCGAGTTTGGGCAAGATCAGGAATTTACACTTGCCTTGTTAGGGATGCTCACCCGCACCCATGGATACTTTGTGATAATCGTCACGTATCTCATCGAGGACTTTTTCAGTACGTCCTTACAGATTCGCTGAAGGTTTTTCCAGTTTCTTTAAGCCTTTCCCAGTGTTAAAAATGTGGAAATTTCACAAAGAGGGGTGGACAATGACGTTATTGCAGTCCTATAGAGGGCGTAGCAATGAAACAGGCACTTCACTTAACTCTTGTTGCCCACGTTAAACCACAAGACTTTCGGTGGGGTACCTGACATCAAACATTTTACTCCTTCGAGGGAGTGGGGATTGGTTGTTTTTCGGAGGAGGCAGACGCGTTCCAAAAATCCCCAAATTGGTTTCTAGGAAACCCGCACATAGACGAGCTGGCACACACGCCTGTTCGCAACAGTACGAATGCCCTAGTCGTAGCGTGCATG